AAAAGACTATGAAAAGTAAACTAAATAAATAAAATAAACGTCTGTACCAAATGAGCCACTCAGAGCACTGACGCCGAAGATAGTCGTCAACATGAAAAGGAGTAAGCGTTTTATTCTGTCATAGACAGCCGTCGTCATCTTGAAGTTGTTCCTGGTTGTCTACTCGCGTTCGTCGACGCAGCCTCAATAATAGTTGCAGACGATGAGGTCGGTAGGAGCCATGGTTAACATGAAGCACTTAGAGACAGACAAACGACACTGAGTGAAGAAACTAACTTCATCTCGTCAGAAAAAAAATACTCATTTGCAGTGTTATCTCTTCTATTCTTTAATCTCTTTGTTTTATTGTCACTTCTACTTCCATTTTTAAAGAAAAAACTCAGATATAAAAATAAATAATCATAATATTTCTTTTCGATTTAAGATATCTCCAAGAATCTAATTTAATCGTCATTCTAACCAGATTTTTTTTTTGACTAGTTGTATCTGAATGAAGCTTTAAATCCAATAAAATACAAGAATGGCAGCCTCATATTCATAGTTCAATATTTAGGAAGGAAGCAGCTTTTTTTTTTTTTTAATGATGGCAAAAAGGCTTAAAATACTAAATTCTGTGTTAGTTTATCTATAGCGATGTTTGTCCGTGTCTACGACTTAGTGCTTAATGTAATGTCGTCACAGGGCCAAACAACCGGCTTGCATATTCATCACGCACTGGGTTGCCGTGGAAACGGACCGCGAGTGTTTATGTGTATATGGGTGTGGGTGAACAAGGAGTGCGCATGCGGGAAGAGGGTTGTAAAGGATGAAACTCATAAAGAGAAAGAAGAGAAAAAGTTGTCAGAAAGAGAGAAAGAGTGAAAGAGAGAGAGAGAGTGAAAGAGAGAGAGAGAGATTATAGAAGAGAAGATTAGAAGGAAGAAAGAACGAGAGAAAAAGAAACTAAAAGGAAGAGGAAGTCAGAGAAGAAAGAGAATACAGATCTAGTAGAGAGAAGTTGATAGCAAAGAGAGAGCGAAAGAAAGAGACAGAGAGAGAGAGAGAGAGGGGGGAGAGAAAGAAAGAAAGAAAGAAAGAAAGAAAGAAAGAAAATCTGAAAGAATAGGGAAGAGAAGGAAAAGTTTAGAGAGAAGGCGATAGTAATTGAAAAAAAGGAAGGAAGAAAGAAATATTAAGAAATAGAACGCAATAGAAAGGTGAGCAATAGAAAGAAAGAAAGAAAGAAAAAGAAAGAAAGAAAGAAAGAAAAAGAAAGAAAGAGAATGTAAGAAAAAAAGAAAGAAAGATTAAGAAAGAAAAAGAGAAAGAGAGAAATATAAAGAAAGAAAGAAGGAGAGAATGGAAGAAAACAGAGACAAGTGAGAGAGAATAGACTAGAAGTGAGAGAGGATAAACTAGAAGGAAAAGAAAAGAAGTCTACGGGGGAGAGAAAGAGAATACTGAATAGTAGAGAGGTGATGGCGAATGAGAGAGAGAGAGAGAGAGGAAGTGAGAGAAATAGAAATTGAATTGGATATAGGGAGTGAGTAAAATAAATGGTTACAACTGTAAACTCTGAAATGGATGTGAAATTTTACGAAATAGTATGACACTATTCAACCCCAGGAGAAAAGGCTCGATTTCAAACGCTGATTTTCAAAGTAAGCCGGTGCTCTGAACTTTAAAAATTGGCGCAAAACAATCTTTCTCAACTCCACATATTTGATTCGGTATTACACTAAATTAATATTAGTAATGAGGTCTATAGTGGACAGACTGAAAGACTGGAGCTGCACAGTCTTACGCCTTCCATTTCCCTTCATTTGGCCATGTGCTAAACTAAGTTTCGTAAATATTAAAATTTCAGGATTATTTTTTTACTGACTTTTCAGATTAGACTGACGCTCAAGAAGAAGAAGAAGAAGAAGAAGAAGAAGAAGAAGAAGAAGAAGAAAAATAATAATAATAATAATAATAATAATAATAATAATAATAATAATCTTTCCGTATCAGAAGATGAAAACAGATGAAGTTGCATGCAATTAGGAAGAAAAATGCTATACGGTGATTACAATTACATAAATGTTCTTCCTGATTGCATGGAATTTCATCTGTTTGCATTTGCTGATGTAACAAAAAGAAAACGGAGTCGTCTCTTGAAGTCTCTGCTTGAGATTTGCGGACAACTTGTAATATACAAATCAAAAGCAAATAATAATAATTTAAAGCAATACAAAAATGTCCATGCAGATACAACTCACACATTACGAAGTGCTTTATCTGTGTAAAATGCGTGTAATCTTAAGTTTGTTTTTTTGTTTTTTACAAAAATGATCAGTGGATAATGTCATGAAGCTATTTCTGACTTCAGGTCTCTGTTTGGGACCCGGAATGAAATGTTTATACGACAGAAATCAATGATGATGATGATAATAATAATAATAATAATAATAATAATAACAACAACAACAAATATGGGCAAGAAAGTCGCAAAATATAAACATCTATTAAAGGAAAATGTGGGACTGTTGATTATGAAGATAAAAACAATGCCAGTGATAATCGTTAGACTCGATCTGGTCAAGAAAAGGATGGAAAAACACGCCAAGAAAATCCCTGGCAACATCAAGATACAAAAAGTCTTAAAAGATCGTCCTACTCGGCTCTGTTTATGTATAAAGAAGGGCGTTGACCATTAAAAAAAAAATCCATCACAACCTCTTGACACCCAAGTTCAAGAGATGCACTCGTGAATGGACAAAACAGGACACAATGGTAAAATTCTGAATAATAATAATAATAATAATAATAATAATAATAAGAAGAAGAAGAAGAAGAAGAAGAAGAAGAAAAATCAAAGTTAATCGCCCTGACATCGTGATTAGAGACCGCAAAGTTAAAATATGCCTCCTTATTGATATGACAGTCCGTGCAGACTGCAATATATCTTTGAAGATCTTCAAAAAACTATCAAAATACAAGGAGCTTGAAATCGAAATCTCAAAAATGTGGCGCAGGAGGACATTAACAATTCCAGTTGAAGTTGGAGCCCTCGGATTGATTGGAAAAGATTCCAATAGACTCATTGGAGGAACTCCTGGTAGCCCATGCCTTGGGGAGGGGTGGGGTTACTGGGTGAGAAAGAATATCAGAAGAAAAAAAACATTATTAAGTAGCGAGAACAACAAAAGAACAGGAATTAAGAAGACAGAAGATAACGATTGACATTAAATTTAAATTTTTGAAGATTAAACATGACTGGAAAGCAAGAAGCTGGAAGAGAGTCCCACAAGTGAAAAATGTGAGAAATGAAACTGTTAGCAAAGAGTTACATCTAGCCAATTCAACTGTAAAACGATGAGATTTTGTTACCAGTCTAGCACTTTGCTTAAATTCATAGTCAAGATATCGTAAATATACCTCAACAAATTTCTATCATTACCCTGTTGAAAACTACAGAAGCAAGAAATCAAAGTGAAAGGAAATGCCACTAATGGTAAAACTGAGATTTCGTTCAGGTTCAACTATTGTAGTTTGCTTTTCAGAAATTGTTTTATGGTTTCTTTTCTCTTGCTATAATCACAGGTATTTCATTACTGTCATAATCAAAGGTATTCTATTACTGTAAACAAAAAAGGTATTTTTTACTGTCATAATTAAAGGTATTTTATTACTGTCATAATCGAAAGTATTTTATTACTGTCATAATCACAGGTATTTTATTACTGTCATAATCAAAGGTAATTTATTACTGTCATAATCCAAAGAATTTTATTAGTCATAATCAAAGATATTCTATTGCTGTAATAATCAAAGTTATTTCATAACTGTCATAATCGAAAGAATTTTATTACTGTCATAATCAAAGGTAATTTATTACTTTCATAATGACAGGTAGTTAATTACTGTCATAATCAAAGGTATTTCATTAATGTAAGACTCAAAGGTATTCTATTGCTGTAATAATCAAAAGTATTGTTACTGTCATAATAAAAGGTACTTTTACTGTCATAATCGAAGGTATTTTATTATTGTAATAATGAAAGCTATTTAATTACTGTCATAATCGAAAGAATTTTATTACTGTCATAATCAAAGGTATTTAATTATTGTCATTAATCAAAGGTATTTAATTATTATCATAATCAAAGGTATTTAATTATTATAATAATCACAGGTATTTAATTAATATAATAATCACCGGTATTTCATTACTTAAACTGATCAATATCCAAACCAATTGAAACTTTGAATGTAAATATATGATTTAATTTTGGCCGTATTAAAAAACAAAGTTCGGACTGCAGGACCCGTGCATATATAATGGACTGATCAGTATGCAGACAAATTGAAAATACGAATAGAAAAAGTGATTTGATGCTGTTTGCATTAAACACGAGGTTCGGTCTACAGGACATATTCATGTAGAATGGACCAATCAAAGTCCAGACAAATTGAAAATATGAAGAAAAAGATTTGATTTAATGTTAGTAGCATTAAAAACAAATTTCGGACTATAGGACATATCCTTGTAGAATCGACTGATCGATATTAAGACAAGTCGAAACTTTGAATATAAACATATGATTTAATGTTAGTCGCATAAAAAGTAAAAGTCGGACTACAGGATCTATGCATGTAGAATCGATTGATCTATATCGATATAAATTGATAATATGAATAAATCAGTCATAGGCAAAACGCGGCCCGATTGGCATTTTGAATGTCATGCCTAATCTCATGAAGAAAATAACTTTTATTAAAATGTTGTTTGTTTCTTTTCGTTCTCGCTTGTTCACTCACACACTCTCGTACATAACACACGCAAACAATGATTACATACAACGTATCTTGAATTTTGTAACATTTCGTTGAAGGTAGAATTGTCAGCATTTTAAACCACTGGCGATTTTCACTACGAAAGATCATAAGTGTAAACAAAAAATTGCTTCAGGAACAAGAAACGTTAATGATAATTATTTTTATCTAGAGATTAAATATACTTCTTTTAAAAAATGGTTTTTCATCTTCAAATGAATAAATTAGAAACAAATCATACACAACAGTGTGTGTTAATCAATCTGTCTTCAGTGATAATATTATATCAGGACTTTTTTTTAATTATAGAAGGAATCTTTTCAATAAAGAAAAAAAAATCATTTTTCTCCATTTCTAAGGCAGATATTAATGCGCATGCTCTTTTGTAGGGAAAATGGCGGCGGTATCAGTAATGAAAAAAGATTTGTTTAGTAGCGCGGCCCGCATTATGATGAACTGTGCCTTATGTGGTCCACAATTCGAAAAATGTTGCCCATGCTTGGAATAAACGATTTAATATTGGTTACAATATAAACAAGTTTCGGACTATAGGACTTGTGTATTTAGAAGAGACTCATCGAAATCCAAACACAAATAATAATACGGATAACACGCTTGGATTCCGCGCTGTTCCGATTAATGAGAAATTCGGACTATAGCAGACGTACCTGAAGAATGGAGTCACAGGTAGAAACTAAATGTTAATAATATCTAACGACCAAGTTTTGATCTGTTGAAAGCAAATCTAATTATGGAGGGTCCGTACTACATGATTTGATAATTTTAACAGAAAATAGCAAATAATTTTCAATGCACGGTTTGGTAATATGCGTTTTTATATGTGACTAGCAGTAGAGCCCGGCGTTGCCCGGGGATGTAACAGTAAGAGATAGATCAAGTATCGACCATCATAAAGACTGAAAAATAAAATTGTCAAAGATTACTGTTTAAGGCTGACGGACACGCATGTCTTAATTAGTTTTTTTTTAAATTTTTTTTACGAATTGGTCAAACCCGAACTCAAACAAAAACATTGTTTTCAATCGTTATGAGTCTACCGATTGAATAAAATGTTATTATGAACAATTGTCTTGTAAATGGAAGTTTTAAAGCATTCTGAATGTAAAAATAAAGAAAAAAGTGTGCAGGACAATAAGAAACACTACCTGCCAAAAAAAAGTGAAGTTTTGTTGAAATCGGTTGAAAAATGTAGGAAATCCGATCCCATATATAAACGAAAACACACACACACACACACACACACACACACACACACACAACCAACCTGGGTTTTATAATAAGTATAACCCGATAACTCGATATTAATAAGTATAACTCGATATGAGTTGTCCCCCTTTCATTAATGCCTCCTAATCGTGTTTTCAAATTGATTTCGTGCAAAAACAATTGTGTTTTTCCAATTTTTAGCGCTGTCAGAACCACTGCAAGGTAATTTTACGTAGTCCTGTGAAGTTTTGTTGAAATCGGTTGAAAAATGTAGAAAATCCGATCCAATATATAAAGGTACACACACACACACACACACACACACACACACACACACACACACACACACACACAACAATCTGCGTTTTATAATAAGTAAGATTTTTTTCACTGTTTACATTATTCGGGTTATTGTCCTCATCTTTGTCGCCATATTTATTACAACGTTTCGATCGTTGTACGCTCCGGCCTTGTTTATTCCGCTCACTGGCGTAGACTTTTCTAGTTCCACGTGCCATGTTTAACGGAAGTCAGTTATCAGTTACCCCCTGTTAACTCCCCTCTCACACTTTCTCCACTGCCTTAACCGGGTATTGAACTCACACCCTTTGGGTCCTGTCACTGGATTTAACTAACGCCTTTTTCCACTGTGCTATATGTCCTTGAGGAACTAGAACAGTCTACCACAGTGAGCGAAATAAATAAAGGTTTCAGTTCGAGATTCTAACCACCTGAAGAAGGCCGGAGTAATTTCTGTAATGAGAATTGAGAGCAAAATCTACAAAAAGAAAAAAAGTCAAATTTGTTTCTTTTGCCTCAGGGTGTCCGTTTCCCTTTTGATCGTCTAATTACAGCTACTATGACTATTGTAGTTTCTATTTCCCGCTATAAATGAGCGTAACGTCGAATGACCCCCACCCGTCATCTCGTTAATATGTGAACAGCGTTAATCTCTTTGTAAATGATTAAGTATAGAAAACAATCAGCTTTCTAATTTCAGCTATGAAATATAAGTTCCATATAATAACGATATTGAAACATTTCGAACTGAAGAGTAAAAATTATCCAGGAAATACACAGCGGCACTTCTAAAAAAAACAGAATCTATTATTTAGAAAAACGATATGAGAATAATGAAAATTCCTACTCTGAATCCATCATAAAATTCCAGAACGTTTAATTGATAGATTCTAAATATTTAAATAACTCGGTGTCTGGATCGGATAAAAAAACATTTAGTATAGGAGGTGCGGAAATTGAACACATGATAGGTTTTGCTTGGTCTGTTTTTGTCCAGCACTGTAAAATGCTGCAAAACTAAAACATTGACCTGAAAACTAGACGTTCTTAACCTTTAACAAACTGCATTATTCACTACTTTCCTTTATACTGTATTATATTTCAAGGCTTTTCTATGACACTACTTAATTTCAGTCATGGTCATTTTCTGTTGCCATAGCTGGATATGACGACACAACTGCATAATTCAAACACTCTATCATTCATTCATCTGCAGTGGCAGAATAAAATTTTTACTTTGCAAGCAAAATCACCTCCAGAATATTAAAGGTTAAAAGTTGAAAATTAAGAGACCTCACCACACATTATTTGAAATCCCATTGTTCATTCAAGGCAAGACTACAAGTACGTTTTGGAAATCTGCAACTTTTACACAGTTGTAAATTACTGGCATTTCAAGTTGATCATGTGATAGGTATTAACTTTTAACAAACTGCATTATTCACTACTTTTCTTTCTACTGCATTATTTTTCAACGCTCCTCTATGGCACTACTTAATTTCAGTTATGATCATGTTCTGTTGCCATAGCAGGATATAGCAACACAACTGCAAAATTCAAATACGCTTTGGAAAATTCATTGCAGTGACAGGATAAAATGAAAAATTCATTGCAGTGACAGAATAAAATTTTTGCTTTGCAACCAAAATAACATCCAAAATGTAAAAGTTTATATGAATTCATCAGATCGAGACTTTCACATGGATGTCATGCATGACGTCCAACCAATTCAGAAATCTCTATCGTATAAACATTACATACACCGGTTCATACACATTCGTCGTCTTCGGAACAGGAGTAAAGGTTTATCCTTTGTTTCCTGTTTAGAATTGGGTTTCTGGTTCTTTTTCATTCTCTATCATTCCCAGTAGCCCCTTGTGTCTTAGTAGCATTGTCGCCTTCCTTGGAGTGAAATGAAAAAGTAAGTATGAATAAAGAAGAGCTAAGTTCAGGACAAATTTGTCAGGTTCATTTCGCACTGACGCCCCTTTAGGAAAGGCATGAAACCATTTCCTTTCCAGCCGGCTACAAGCTAAATAGCAAGAGAGACTGGAATCTCAAACAGTCTTTTGAACAGGAGTAGAACTTTATCAATTGTTTTCTGTTTAGGATTAGGTTCCTGGTTCCTTCTTTCTTTCGTCTTCTTTCACTCCCTGAAATCACTTGTGTCTTAGTGGCATTATCGCCTTGCTTGAGTCTTAGTGACATTATCGCCTTGCTTGTGGTGAATTGATTAAAAAAACTGATTTTATTGATTTTAAATGTATATTGGCTCAGTCAAAAGAAATGATGCCAGAGATCGATTTTTCTTGAGACCGAAGAAACGCCATGGTTTTAATTGCTGATTTTCTAACAAGCAGACTTTCTCATCTTGGAGAATTGTTGTAAAATAATATTCCGCTATTATTATTGTTCTATTCAGACTTAGACTTTAAAAAATTAAATTTAGTCAACATTAAGATGGGGATCAAGTCGAATGCTGATTTTCTAGGCAGGTAGTCATGCTTTCCCCTACTGAAAGATAAGATTAACACAATCTTCTGTTCTTTTTCATCCACAATTTTGGTTGTTGTGTCGTAGACTTTGTAAACGGCAAGACGGGGTCAAGTCGAATGTCGATTTTCTGGGCAAGTGCACCTACCCTACTTAAAGAAGGGGTGTAATACATTCTTTTGTCGTTTATTTTCACTTATTGTAGCCTTTCTGTTGTACTAGACAAGATTTTTGTCAATATCAATAACTACCCGGCGTAGAATCTGCGACAGACTAATGCCTAATGGCGCGGGAAAAAGGAATAAAGCGTGACGAGTTTCAGCTTGATCCTTTTTCGTCACTTTGCAGTATTGCCCTTGGAAAAGGCATGAATCTGTATTTATACAGCTATGGGTTAAATAGTAGGACAAACTGGTGTCTCATGTCTTGAAGATAGCCTGAAGAGGGTTGGGCCCTGTCAGGTTATATTGACCAAGACACACCACTGCTGTTAAGGATGCAGTAAAAGGTCGTACTTCTACGACCATAATGAGTTACGGGACACACACTTACCTTCTGCGCTCACGGAGGCGTACAAATCCCGACGTCTTTTCATCTCATCTGAAATTTACAAAAATAAAATAAATAAATAAAATAGAATAAAATATAAAAATAAAATAAAATAAATAAATAAAATAAAAAAAATAAAAACAAGAAATTAAATACTGCTTGTTCTTTTGTGCGGTTTTAATTATCTTTTTTATTTCACAAAATTTGCATATAAAGACACTGGAATCTTCATTTATATTACATTATATCTTAATATAAATACATTTAATATAAATATGATATAATATAACTACATTTAATATAAATATAATACAACATAAATACATTTAATATAAATATAATATAATATAAACACATTTAAAATAATATAATATAAATGCATTTAATATAAATATAATATAACATAAATACATTTGCATGCGGTCTATTGCTGGGCATTCGATTTTAAAATAACGTTTTAGCAAGAAGTTTTCAATGATTAGGAAACAAGAAGTTATCATTATCTGCATTATTTACATGTGGACTATTGTCCTCATCTTTGTTGTTGTTATCACAACGTTTCGACCGATATATCCCAACTCCGGCCTTCATCAGGTGCTTGTCCTGCCGGGTAACGTTCGGTAATTTCGAACTGAACTCTTTATTTAATCTACCGGTTTAGATTGTTCTTATCCCACTGTCTATGTCGACGGTTATCTCTTTCTGTTCTTATTTACTACGTCTCAGCTATTGCTTGCCAAGTACACACTCCCTTGCCCAGGGATTGAACTCATAATCAGAATATTACCACATTGACGAGCCAACGCTTTAATCCACTAAGCTAATCTCCCCGAGATTAATAAAGGGTTCAGTTCGAAAGTCCATGGATCGACAATAACTTGATGAAGGCTGGAGGGCAAATCGGCCGATATCTTGGGATGATAACAACAGAGAGGTATTTGGGAGGAGGGGACCATCCAATTATTTTACAACTGCCCTCATATATATATATATATATATATATATATATATATATATATATATATATATATATATATATATATATATATATATATAAGTTTGACGTAGCTTGTCTCGTTAGATAAATTACGACTGAGTAGTGAGTTCGATCCTCACTGAGGTGCACCATATTTTCGGCGTTGTTCCACATATAATCTAAGTTATGCTTAGTAATAATTATATATATATATATATATATATATATATATATACACACACACAACACATATTGGGTATATATAAATATACATATATGCGGTATATATATATATATATATAATGTTTTTGAATTAATCTTATATGTAATTTATTTATATATGCTCTGTAAGAAATACACTGAGCTCTGCGGATCAGTTTTAATATTTTATTATTATTATTTACCCACGGATTTTTACCTATATACACATATATATATATATATATATATATATATATATATATATAATGCCAAGGTAAATTATTAAAGATGCTAAGTGAGGTAATTTAATATCTAATAAACAAAAGTTAGTAAATATATATATATATATATATAAACACACACACACACATATATATATATATATATAGGTCAGTCAGTTATGTGCCATGCGTGATACACGCGTAGGCGATCATGTATCTTTCGATACATGACTGACGAGGCAGACTTTTTCCGCAGTAGGTTGCCATTTCCTTCTGCGGTAGACCAGTTGCCATCCAAGGCTATATATTTTCCTGCTATTTACCTATATCTGAGGGACAAGGGTATTACCACGTAAGTGAATGTAATTGATCCGACTGGAATTCGAACTCGGCTCTCCGATTTCTTAATCCGAGTCGCTATCCATTACTCCATCGTAGGATTAGGTAAATGTAATAACTAGATATTAGCAACTGTATACGCGCGTGCTGGCGTCAATACACAGGTAAGCGAATAAATAAGCACCAAATTTCGCCAAGAGGTGTAGACATAATAGTGCTCGACGTGGTTAGACAGAGCTAAGAAATATATATTAATAAATAAATATATACCTACGTTTGTTGTGCGACTTAAGTTTCGCTGGCTACCCAACTCGTCGAGCACAAGCTTATTGTTTATTTAAAAAAAAAATATACAGATGCTAATGGGAAGAACGCTGATTTTTTTGTAATATTTTTGTACTATTTTTATTTGAACTATGAATTCGACGTATGTATATATATATATATATATATATATATATATATATATATATATAGATATATATAGGGTGCGATGGGCAAATTGTCGCAATTTTATATTCTTAATTTCGCTCACACACTTTGTTTAGTTTTGTTTTATTTTACCGACTGCACAGTATAATAGGGTCAGTTGGGAACCATCTGTGAGAAAAAAAAAAACTACCATGATACAATTCACTCTAACAGAAATTTGAAAAAATGCATTCTGTACTGCTTGGCAATTACACCGGAAGCTCCAATATGAACATTTCATAATGTCTTAATTTCAATCTGGGGACATTGCAGAATATTCGGAAAGAGTTGGATGAGTCTAATGGCGATTACGAAGGTACGACAGCTCGGAAAACTCACTCTGACCGAATTTGTTGGTGAGGGCCTCATACTTAACACGGAAGTCAACATCATGTGCCTTGAGGATGTAGTGCTGCCTTGGGTCAAGAGGGTGACTGCTGAAAGACCCTATGTCTGGCAACAGAACTTTCTACCATGCTTCAGGAGAACCAAGACATAGTTGTCAGACAATTTCAGCGATTACATCACACCTTTCATCTGGACATCTAACTCCCAAGACTGCAGCCCCATTGATTATTATGTATGGGGCGCAGTTGAGCGAGAGACCAGCAAAACTCCTTGTAATACCAAAAATGAACTGAAAGCAAGGATTATGGCAGCATTCACCAACTTAAGCAAGGATTGCATGAAATTCCAAAGTTACCTAGAGGCCGTGGTTGAAGCCAGTCGCAATTTTATTGAATAATATCTGTAAAAATGAGATGTCAGTGTTATTTTCATTTTTGCGTAATTCAGACAATAATTTATCCCTAGCACTATATATATATATATATATATATATATATATATATATATATATATAAGTCTACAGGACATACGAGCTATGGCAACTTACTCGTTGGGGAGTCTACAGACTTGAGACTATGGCAACATACTCCTCAGGGAGTCTACGGGACATGAGAGCTATATATTATATATATATATATATATATATATATATAGTGCTCAACATACACCTCGGAGAATCTATGGGACTTCAGAGCTATAGCAACATACTGCACGGGGTGTCTACGAGACTTGAGAGTTATGGCAACATACCCCTCGGGGAGTCTAGGAGACTTAAGAGCTATGTCAACATAATACTCGGGAGTCTACGGGACATGACTTGGGAGCTATGGCAGCATACTCCTCAGGGAATCTATGGGACATGAGAGCTATGGCAACATACTCCTTGGGGAATGTATGGGACTTAAGAGATATGGCAACATACTCCTCGGGGAATGTATGGGACTTAAGAACTATGGCAACATACTCCTCGGGGAATGTATGGGACTTAAGAGCTATGGCAACATACTCCTCGGGGAATGTATGGGACTTAAGAGCTATGGCAACATACTCCTCGGGGAGTCTACGGGACATGAGAGCTATGGCAATATACTCGTCGGGGAGTCTACGGGACATGAGAGCTATGGCAATACTCCTCAGGGAATCTATGGCATTTGAGAGCTATGGCAACATACTCCTCGGAGAATCTATGGGACTTCAGAGCTATGGCAACATACTCCACGGGGTGTCTACGAGACTTGAGAGTTATGGCAACATACTCCTTGGGGAGTCTACGAGACTTAAGAGTTATGGCAACATACTCCTCGGGGAGTCTACGGGACATGACTTGAGAGCTATGGCAACATACTCCTCAGGGAATCTATGGGACTTGAGAGCTATGGCAACATACTCCTCGGGGAATGTATGGGACTTAAGAGCTATGGCAACATACTCCTCGGGGAGTCTACGGGACATGAAAGCTATGGCAACATACTCCTCGGGGAATCTATGGGACTTGAGAGCTGTGGCAACATACTCCTCGGGGGTCTATGGTACTTGAGAGCTATGGCAACATACTCCTCGGGGAATCTATCGGATTTGAGAGCTATGGCAACATACTCGTCGGGGAGTCTACGGGACATGAGAGCTATGGCAACATTCTCCTTGAGTAGTCTACAGGACTTGAGATCTGACGTTTCATACTCCTCAGTGAGTCTACGAGACTTGAGTGCTATGGCCCCATACACCTCGGGAGTCTACGGGACTTAAGAGCAGTGACCCCCATATTCGTCGCGGAGTCTACAGGACTTCAGCTAGAGAGTTTGCTCTACCTTTCTAGGGAGAGAATATATGTATTCTTGTTATGCGAAACTAAAATTTAAGTGTCGAATTCTGTGATACCTCTGGTGCAATAAGCAGGTTAATTGCCAAACCGTTGCGTGAGGGTGGGGGTCTCGCTGAAAATCATCCTTCTATCTGAAAATGATATGAAAAAATTTTAGTGTGCAAATTCTTAGTCGCCTCCGCCCTAAATTAGAGACCAGCTCCTCCCCCACCCCAAATCCATTCTTGCAATAGTCATACTAATAAGTTAACTATGTGTCTTTTTTAAACTTGTTTTCGTTCTTTTTTGTCTTCTTTTTTTCATCTTAATCATATAGATTATAATTGATAAAAGGAATATATTTTCTTTTATTTACCTTTGAATAGTCGAGGCACCAACTTGTATACAAGATCTTGGAGTGTATTGTCAGGTCTGCAAGAAAAATAAAGAAACAACACTTAAATTACATAGTTAAAGACATATATTTTGAAATGCGTATCCAAAGTACAAATAACAAAACAGGATACATATTTTTAAAGTGTAAGCTATTTGGGCCCAAGGTCACAAAAATAGGGCATTTATGGAATAATAGAATTCCTTGCAATTAACCGCCAATCTCTTAACACTAGGTAAACAAATTCTGATATTATATGAATATTATAAGGATACAATTTCTGTTTTTATATGTAATTCTTCATGTAGAGCAGCAAAAACGGTATATCCAAGCGAGACTTATTTACCGCAATACAGTTAAAATTCTGTAAATCAACCATCAGCACAGGCAAGCCAATTTCAATATTGTTTCTATAGTATGATAATTGAATTTCTGTTTTAATGTAACATTTTTAATTTAACGTAGCAAAAACTGCACATCGTAGCGACTTTTAACTAGCGCAATACACTTGTAATACTCGTCCAGTATTCAGCTTAATAATAATAGTGCGGCGTTTACGTTTTGGCTTGCCCCGATAATAAGAATTTAATTGCTGTGTTTTGTTACAAAAGCTTGAAAGAAAGTGATGTTAATATTGAAAGATCACATCATAAAATATACACTTGAACTACCAATACTGTTATTGAAATGAAAATAATTATTAATATTTTTATCCTTTTTTCCTTTCGTTACACATCCTGAACATTTCTGAATTTTATCTCTAAAGAAATTATTTTTCTAAATTAACACTTATATTAAATAATTAGCACTAAAACTGATTAGGGATTAGTTGAAATTCAAGTAAAGTTAACTTGAAATGTGTACACGGAGTTGGGATTTGGCTAATTACAGAATGGTTTCCTTTGTTTATTTATTTGCAAATAATTATAATACAAAATATAAAGAGAGGTACTTTGCATCAATCTTAATTGTCTTGTCTTTAATTTAGAAAATTATTTAATATCTTAGTTTCGGATAAAAAATAGCAACGTCTTCATGTGGTTATTAACTGAATCATTTGTCACTGGTTTGAAACGAGAGAAGAATTGCAAACGAAGAAAAAGGAGACGGCTACTATATGTATAGAGTGAGTCCCCGCCTATTCGCGTTTCAGCATTCGCGGCTTCACACATTCGCGGATTTTTCTTCAGAACATATGTACTTGTTATTCACGGAAACCCCAAATATCCGCGTGTTTTCTGAAGAAGACCATATGTACAGGGTGTTGCAGCAAAATCCGACACTTGACAAAAAGAAAAGGAAATGGCCTGGTTTGGGTTCAAGGGGATTATGGTCATGGACATTTGGAGGAAGTGGAAGGCGTTTGAGAACAAGGACGCGTTTACTGCCAAACGAATGACCCACAACGTTCATTCTTCGGCCGTTAAGACCGACGAGTTCGCTGCCGCCGTCGCCAAGGAGAGAGTTGACAATGATGGAAGCCAGAGCTACGCCAAGATCACCGCTGACATGGACTGCCACAAGTCGACGATCTGCCGAACGATCAAGAATGACATTAGTTACTCCTCCAACCGCAAGTCTCACCGTATGCTCATCATGAATGCCTCCAAGGAGTCGAGGAAGGTCAAGGTGGCGGCTTTGCTGAACGAGCTCAAGCACGGGTCCGCTGGGATGCTGAGGTTCTTCTCTGATGAAAAGAATTTCATCCAGGACCAGACGAACAACAGGCAGAACGACAGGTGGATCTGCAAAGACATCGAGGAGGTTCCCGTCGTGAAGCATACAAAGTTTCCCTCCTCCATTATAGTCCTTGACGTCATCTCCAGCGAGGGGGACGTTATGCCTCCATTCTTCTTTCAAAAGGGCCTGAGAGCCACCGTTGAGATCTACCAGGAGCGTGGTGAAGTCCTGGATGGACGAGATCGCCGCCGGACACCCCTACGTCTTCAAGCAGGATTCCGCTCCTGCACACAAGTCCAAGACGACCCAGGCGTGGCTGCTCAACAATGTTCCTCACCACTGGTTGCCGGACTTGTGGCCGCTCTCCTCACCCGACTGCAACCCCCTTGACTATTTCATCTGGGGCGTGATCGAGGCCAAAACCAACAACCACGCCCACAACATGGTTGACTCTCTGAAGAGGCGTGGAGGCGTTCGCTGCTATGTGCAAGGACCTGGTCACCAAAGCGTGTGACTCATTTTGCGCCCGCATGGTCGTCGCCGCCGCTGGCGGTTACATTGAAAAATTATGTAGTATGTAACTCTAACTGTTGCTAAATAAACTGTCGGGTCTCTGCATATAGAACTTTTGTTTTTATTGCCTATTTCTTTTTCTTTTTGTCAAGTGTCGGATTTTGCTGCAACACCCTGTACAAATTATTCGCTGAGAACTCCCTCAATTCGCGTAAAAATTTGCAAAATTATACATCTTCATTGTAAAAAAACGCAAAAACAGGTGTAGTGCTTGGGTTATGTTCTTTGTTAGGGGCTGCGGCTTTAAAAGTTGCTCAGATAGATAGATAGATAGATAGATAGATAGATAGATAGATATGATTACAATGAGATAGATAGATAGATAGATAGATAGATAGAGAGAGAGAGATAGAGAGAGATATGGATAGATTGAGATGGATAGAGAGAGATAGATATGGATAGATAGAGAGAGATAGATATGGATAGATTGAGATAGATATGAATAGATTGAGATAGATAGATAGATAGATAGATAGATATAAATAGATTGAGATATATAGATAGATAGATAGATAGATAGATAGATAGAGAGATATGAATAGATTGAGATAGATAGATAGATAGATAGATAGAGAGAGAGAGAGAGAGGGAGAGAGAGATATGAATAGACTGAGATAGATAGATAGATAGATAGATAGATAGATAGATAGATATGATTACAATGGGATAGATAGAGAGATATGAATAGATTGAGATAGATAGATAGATAGATAGATAGATAGATAGATAGATAGATAGATAGATAGAGAGAGAGAGAGAGATATGAATAGACTTTGATAGATATGAATAGATTGAGATAGATAGATAGATAGATAGATATGAATAGACTGAGATAGATATGAATAGATTGAGATAGATAGATATGAATAGACTGAGATAGATAGATAGATAGATAGATAGATAGATAGATAGATAGATAGATATGAATAGATTGGGATAGATATGAATAGATATGAATTCTGTTTAAAAAAATGTTCAGTTTTCGAAAATTGGGGATAAATGTAGGTATATATAAGCCATTTAATATATTTACCTTATATTTTGCAGCGGTTTGCTTTTATGAACGATGACATCACAGATGGGACACACGTTGCTGCTCTCTAAATAGCGAACAATACATGTTCGGCAAACTGAAAAAAAATAGAAAATGCATTAGAAACAAGAATTTCAAAATAGCAACAAACAAAATCTCTCCTAAAAAAAACGTTGCTCAGTGCAATTAATCTTATTGCTCCTCGCGATACCAATAAACAGTGACTTTCCTGATAATGGTGTCTATCCGAGAAATTGCACAATTTCCTCGGCTACTGATACAGACATTAGGATTTCAATACAGATCACTAGAAAATACAGCTCAATTTAATGAATCTAGTTGAGTACAAGGCCTTAATAATGAGACATTCAGGCAGGGTCGAAATCACTAATAACACTCTCCAAGACCAACTCGTTCATCATCGATATTTACGAATCGAAAATGTGTTTAGCACAGAAGGGTTGGGTGAGGAACTTGGTTCACAGGAATCTAAGATCATTCATTTTAGCCAGTGGTGAAATTGGGGAGTAATTTCTATCGTGTTTATAAGGATAATTATTTAACTTCGCATTCAGATAAATTTCCTTATCTTTGCTGTTATTATGACAAAGCTTTGGCAATTGTGCCCCCAGCCCTTTTCAGGTGTATCGACACGGGGGTAACCTTGCCAAACCAACGCTGTAGCCTACTAGGCTTTTGAAGCTTACTGGATTAAGGTGTTGGCTTGTGATTTGATTGATTGATTCATTTTTTTACGATTTTTCAACCATTTGCAGGTTATTTAAAGCCAGAAAATATTTTTAGATTGTAAGAATGTTTTCGGGGGAGTGGGGAGATAATAATGTTTTCTTGATACAAGTCCTACTACAATAGTTGGGGGAGAATAAGTGTATTAATACCTTTCCCAAGGGTATTTGAATATAACAAACCCAACGGGAATTTGAACTGGCTTCTCCGATTACAAGGCTCAAGAACCACTCGAGGTAGAGGGTTACAGAGTAAGAGACAGTTTATGCGGGGAAAGATAATGATTAAACATAGACTTGAACAGGTTAAGATAGTAGTGATATGGGAAGCATCCTCTTGGGAGTCGGTTCTACAAAGCAGTGATTCGTGGGAAGAATCTGCTCGAATGGAAGTAAAATCACATCAATGAATGAAAATGAGGGTGGCTCGGTACAATGTGCGTGGTATGACGAGGCTTAGCCGTGATTTAAATAGGTGGGGAAACTTTGACGAATCAAGAGTTCGCAAGAGAAGCAATGTGGTCTGGGATTCTGAGAACCAAATGTTTAGCCCAAGGCTAAGCGAAGAATGAAAATTGGGCTATTCTTCTAAGAAGCCGGAGAACCCAAACATCCTCTGGGCAGCAGGGGTAGGGGACGTTTCAGTGCGCCTAAAAACAGGGGAAAATAGAAAATCGTCCTCCTCTAAAACCAAATAAAAAATTTCCAATAAATAACCTCTACGCTAGGTACATCCACTGAATCGCTATAACATGAGCATATCATGATTAAAAAATGCCTCAAATTTTATCGTCAAAATTTTCATGTTATTAAGAGGAAAAACCAAAGAACTTTTTCTTATTAATAAATTATATATATATATATATTTATCTTTTAAAACTTTCAAAAATTCGGTTAAACATGTTTTTTTTTTCGTCAGCGTGGGTGGGTGGAGTTGGGCGTGCAAATATTAGTATAGGAAATTTTAGAGGTTTTTTTTGCAGTGAAAAACGCATTGATTTGGAAATTCTTGCAAAAATAAAAAAATATCGGATTTTAATGAAACTTTCAGGACTTATTCACAAATTGATAAAATTATTTTAAAAATGTCTTAGAAAATCTTGGTAATTTTAAAAATACTTTTACAACTGTTAGAACCTATTTAATTTAATGAAATTTTGAGAAATTAAAGCTTAATGTTTATATCAGTGAAAAGCAGAACTGCTTGGAGAATTTAAATCATCAGTTTGTTTTTTTATTGTAAAATAGGATCCTCAGTTACAAAAAATCTGCTCTGAACCATAAAATTAAAAAAATGAAATAAAATTTAAACATTAGGAAAGCTTTCATTTATTTATATGAATAAAATATATTACGAACACTATTGTCTAAAGAAAAAGATTTTTTTCGATAATGAATTTTTACAGGATTTGTTTTCAATTTAAAAAAATTTTATCTATAATAATTCAAAATGTTTTAAATCTTTTAAAATTCTGTCTTACTTTACACTGGTTAGATGAGATTGTTATTAAATAAAAATCACTTACTAATCATAAATGGAAAAGCTTAGTACAAATCATCAGACACCAATATTTTAAAAAGAATTATTTTTTTTGTAAATACGGATGCCCATACACGACATTATCCGAAAATAAGAGCGATAGCTAAAGTAAATTTAAAGCCAAAGTAAAATTCAATAAAACATTACATTATGGACAATATTTTTCTAAATTCTTCAGATTATTGGGTATTTAAAAATTATATGAAAGGCGCTCACATTACATTACTCAAGTAATATTTGCAGATATATCCAACATAAAAAAAGAAAATTAGATAAACTTCTGCTGTCAGTCAAGCCGTCAGTAAATAAAAGATCTACCACCGTGTTAAAAAAATGCATTCCTGTGATATTTTAAGCTAAATTTAGTAATATTTGTTTCAAATCAGATTAATTAAACTTTAAATCAGTTAATATTAATAAAGTTTCAGAAAATTATAGTTTACTTTTGATCGATTTTTTTTTAATAAAGAGAATTCCCCGTATACTCGTATAAAACGAGTTCAGGTAGCTGTTTCCCGAGAAGAGACTCTACCCTTCGACATAGCCTCGTCTGGAGATCCTTTCTGTCCGGAGGCAGAGAGTTTGCCCAGCACAGCTAGAGACGAATCTCCAACTGCAGGATATCTACCAACCGCCCCATGTGGTCAGATGTGGCACAAGGTCGAATTTAATGTGAGATATCCGAGACCGTAGGCACGACCAAAACTTCCCCGTAGTTCCCGTATAAAACAGGCTCGGGTAGCTGTTTTCCGAGACGAGACTCTGTCCTTCGACATAGCTTCGTCTGCGGATCCTCTCTGCCCGAAGGCAAAGAATTTGACCAGTACAGCTGGAGACGGGTCTCCAACTGCAGACCAACATACAGTATTTACTATTGCCTTATGCATTATCGTCAATAGGTATCCTACAAAAATTTATATGTGTAAAACTCAGTGTTATTTTAAAAAAAAATATTAATGCAATATTCACTCTCAAAAAATAAAAATAATTATTCCTACAACCGAAAATATGTTTCGGCTTTGAATAACCTATAAAAGGTTGGTAAGCCGTAAAAAACAAATTAATCAACCAATATGAGAACAATCTGTTTTTCTCTCTCTGTTAAAAGAAGCGTCTACCATGTCATTCCAGGCAGGTTCGCTACATTCACTTACGTTCAAATAGCCCTGGGAAATGTATAAATACATCTCTTCTCCTCGCAGCTATACAGTTGATAGACTGGGTCCTATAGCCTTGGTTGTTAACCAGTCTACCGCAAAAAGAAACGACAGCCTACTACGGGAAAATCTTCTGCCTAGTCAGTCATGAATCGAACGAGATATGATCGTCCACACGTGTATCACGTATGGCACTTAACTGACTGATGTCATTGTTGTCATTGCAAGAGTTATCTTCTCCTAATTAGCAAAGAAATGTTTTAAAGATGTTATTTCCACTTGACCCGCCATTACTCATCCTTCTTCTTTTTTTTTTTTTTTTAAAGATGAGTAACAACGTCTTAGTTACAAAATAACTTTCGCTGTTTTGTAACCTCTGTCTCAAGCATCAACCAATTGGTTCACAAGTGGTTGATACCGCTCATTATTGTAAATTATCGCAAAATCAACCTGGAGTTATACAGATTAAAAGGAGAGCAAATGAAGGAAATAAAGATGTTAATTCTTAAATTTTATAAATGCTTCTTGCATTTTCATATTTAAAGATTACATTTGAAATTGAAAAAAAAAATTGTTTTAATTATATAAAACATTAAAAAGAAATGTACGCTTTCTTGATGGGAATTTGATTAATTAAATTAATTTGAATGAATGAATTAGTTAATTGTGATTTTTGTTTTATAAGTTATATATTTGACATTAAATTAACCCAACAAATGTTGATATGCCGACATACATGAATCCCTCGATTAGTGAAGCTAATTTGTATATCGAAAACTAAAAAAAAAAGTCAATTACTATGGTTAAACTGAACAATGTTTTACCGCACTAAGCGAGTATTATGTAAGCACTAATCGAATTTTGGTACATAAAAATTTTAGCGTACTAATTGAATGCGCATTAATCGAGTGATGCTTGTATTAATCAATTTAACCCGACCAGTGTCTACCTTTTTTGACTCAAGTGCAAATCGGACTTATACCATCATATCTATTAACTCGTTGTGATATTTGTCCTATAAAACTTATAATCGATATTAAATTACGATTTGGTTTGTTTTGTTTTACGGCATATCGATCTCAATGGGTTATTTAATGCCGACAAGATTTTTATTGCTAGTGATAATTTTTTCCTTCGAAAAAGTATTGCTGGTAATACTTTTTTCCTTCGAAAAAGTATTGCTGGTAATACTTTTTTCCTTCGAAATGTATTGCTGGTAATACTTTTTTCCTTCGAAAAAGTATTGCTGGTAATACTTTTTCTTCGAAAAAATGTTGCTGGTAATTTTTCCTTCAATGTGGTAATACTTTTTCCCTTTCGAAAATTCATTGCTGGTAATACTTTTTTCCTTCAAAAATGTATTGTTGGTAATATTTTTTTACAAAAACGTGTTGCTGGTATTAAAACCCATTTTTAAACTTTCATAGTGTTTTGACCCCAGTTTGGGGTTAACTATTTGCCCATAGCTGGGACCCTAAGAGGTGCTACCACCCCGGGTCAGAGTGAACCTGGGAACACCAGCAATTAAGAGTTGGTTCTACTCTCCTCAAAACATCCTAATCAGAGGCATTGCTGTCGGATATAGTTTATCGTCTTACCAAGGACGCAATATTAAATTAACCAAACAAAAGTTGATATGTCGCCAAATTAACCA